AAAGTCTTGTAGACCTTCGTTTTGCAGGGAATGGCAACAAACTTAAGATGATAGTGATAGCGAATAGCAAGCACACGAATCTTCCAAAATTTGACTTCACGGCACATTCCATCGTTTCCTTGATCTTTCTGATTGTCAGGCAGCATAAGGCGGTAATGACTGTATTGTACTTAAGCGGCTGCGGCGTTAGTGGCACCTCGTCATTTTTTAGAGCAAATATTTCTTCATCAGAAGCAGATACTGACCGCATATCATCATGAAAACTTTTTTTAAAATATTGGCTATCGTGCATAAATATGATTTTTTGACGCATTGCAATGCCCCTTGCTTCTATATACCTATGAAGCCCCTTAGATAGAAGGAATGAAACATTTCGAATACTGATAATGGGTTTACACGGCGAAAACGGACTGTGTACAGAAAAAAATTATTTCTTACTTTACACCGATACTGTGTTAGTGTAGGACAAATAAAATTTTTACAATCAGGTTGTGCCGCAATACTGCACCGCACCCTTGCTTTTAGTTGCCTGGGGGACCATTTAAGCAAGTCATGGCTCCATGGTATTTAAGCACCTGCGGTGAATAAGACGCATGACGAGTTGGGTGTAACAAGGACATATTCAAGCCCATAGAAGAGTGCCACCATCCGTAAACAAATACATAAAAAATGCAGTAAAATATGATTCCAAGGTTCTGGGGTAGCTTATACGACTGGAAGCTTTCAATACCAGTTGAACGGAAGAAAATATCGTGAACGCTGGGATTTTCATCTCCGTTGTAATTTCGTGAAGGCTATGTTTTTACCCATTATTCAAGTACAGTCCACACTGGCAGAGCAAAATTGCAGATACAGCGTTGGAAAATCATGCGAACTCTACTAGCAGAACAGAGCACTGATACCTGTTGCATCCACCTGCTGAAAGAAGCAAATTCTGGCTGCTTCACGAACACACCACGCTACCCTACATCCATTCCGGATTCTCGTAGAGAAGGGCGGGTTTGAAGCAAAGGGACACCATCTCCCCCAAACTCTGCACTGCCAACGTTGAAACCGGCGCGGTTCGTCGTTGATTACCGGTCGGTCCAAGTGATCAAAGAAATACCTGCAGCTTGTTGATCACTAAAGTTTACAGTTTCATGTCTCTTTCCCATGAAATGGAACTCATTTTCCGACGTTTGGAGAATGAAAAGTGAGTGAATCGAACCTGAGCCATCTCTGCTCTATCAGTGAACAATCCTAGTCAGCCGGTCATGGACGTACACGATATTTGCAATCACATTTCGAAGGATCTATGCATCTATAGTTTATTAATTTACTCCTCATATGTGCCCATGTTATTAAACGTTTGGAAACAAATAACATACATACCAACCTCTGAAATCCTGGGCAACGAAGAATTTATTGCTCTAGCGAGATAAATCCGTCTACTACAGGGGCTGAAACTGCTTTGAAAGATACTTTGGTTCTTAGTCCACACTTGATCGGCGGATTGTTTTCTTGATGCATAGTTATGGAAGCCAAACGTAAAACAGAGATTGAAAGGTTTTACTATAATCCACACATTTCATTTTCAGCAGTCGTGGCACCGTCAGGACTGAATAATTTAAATACTCAGCGTTTTGGCGAAATAATAATTAATTAGTAGCATAATTCTCAGTAGCAGTTGTATGTTACGCTGTTGGGAATTTTCTTTTTTTAACAGATTGCTGACTGCACTTCGGCTTAGACTATTATTAAAAGATGAAAAGTATTCATTTGATGTTTTGGTGTCAAAATGTAAAGGGACTCTTTTACAGCCCTAACGCGGTGTTGTCCCTGTAAATTGCTGAAGCATTCGGTTAGTTGACTTCGTATCCTGCATCAAAGGCATTGGATGCAATGCCTTGGTATTCAGCATGAAAGTTGCGGATTGTGGAGAGACGCTGTTTTACTCTACCACTAACCAAAATGTCATTATAGATTTTATCCAAAACGAACCTTGTCGCAATCACTCCACTAAATCTTCTAATTTCGTTAAAGGTTTCAGCTGAGCTGCTTTGAAGGAGCTTACTGAAAAAAAGCATCCTTAATGCCATTCCATTGTTGAAGTAGATTCTACGCCCCTATCTATTTTTATAAAATATTTTTTGACTAGTTCTGAAAATCGATGGTAGGACAAAATGGCAACTACTGTCTGTTTTCTGGTTTCTGGCATAAATTTAGTTTGTTGTTGTTTTGTCATTGTCATCTGAGGTTAAGAGAGCTCAAACAGCCAGGCTAATGATGCCTCGCCTCAAAAAAGTACTTTAAG